AGGTAGAAGAAGGGACGGTAGATATGCAGAAGATCCATACCAAAGACAACATAGCAGATTTCATGACGAAGGCAATCAATGCTGATAAATTTACCTGGTGTCGATCCTCTTGTGACCTGTCAGAAACGTAAGCAACATGATGGTACAAGGTAGAAAGAATGGTGTGAAGATATGATTGTTCCAATCAAATCTTCAAGTGGGAGATTGTTGAAATACAAATTTGGAAAGTCCAAATTAGTTGCTGCCACCAAACTAGTCCTTAAGCTTCAACTATAAATACCCTAGCTCATTTAGCTTCAAAATCATCCCAAAGCATTCTAGCTTTCTTCCAATACTAGAGAGAATTTAGAGAGTTTCTTAAGAGTTGTTTTCTCATTTTTATCAAGAGAGAATTATCATTGTTTTCTCCTTGGTAGATCGAGAGAAGTTGTAATTCCTATTTTCTAATAGTGAAATTCTTCTACCGTTGTCCGTGGTTTTTACCCTATATTATTTAGGGCTTTTCCACGTAAATTTTGTGTCTCTTTTATCTTCATTTTTATTTTCTCAAATTATCAGTTGCGATCTTGCTCTATCCGATAGCCGTCTTCCGCAACAGGTCAGAGGCTCCGCCTATTGGTGGAGCTATGAAGCAAGGGATGATATTGAGCGTTGATTCTATCGTCGGAGCTGCTGACGATAACGGTACTACTGATGATTGTGAATGCGAACGTGAGGTGAGTATTGGTTTAGCGGTTTTATCGATTCCTTTTGCCGAGAAAATGTTGAAGGAAAAGGGAGGAATTTGGGTCATTTTGGTTGAGGAAGCTAAGATCTTAACAAGTATAGTCACATGCAGTAATTAAAATTTAATTACATTAATTAAAAACCAATGACCATTCAAAGAATTTTTTTTCTGGCCACTTTACAATTTAAATTGAACAAAGATTCAAATTTTGTTCTTTATAGTTTGAAATTTGTCATGAGCAGGATGGTCTTGAAGCATTGGCTGAGACACCAACAAAGCCAGCAGCACCATCTCGTAGTTCCTTAAAAAGAAACAGAGCTGCCGAGGTTCATAATTTGTCTGAAAAGGTTAGTGATTTTGTCCAGTGTTTTTTTAATATTAAATCTGTACTAAATAATGGAACATCACCGCTGATGTGTTCTGAATTTCTTGCAAGATGCAGAGGAGGAACAGGATTAATGAGAAAATGAAAGCATTGCAAAAACTGGTTCCAAATTCTAACAAGGTATTCATTTTCTATTTATTATGTTATTTATATTAATTTGAGATATTCATATAACTTTGTGTTCTACCGTGTGGCATTACTGATTCGAGTAATATAATGAAGGATTAACAGACAGATAAGGCTTCGATGCTTGATGAAGTTATTGAGTACTTGAAGAACCTTCAGCTTCAAGTTCGGGTATGTTGACAACTTTACAACTTCCTTTTTCTTTTCTGTGTGAATCCACTGTCTAAAGTAACGAGAATTTCGAAGATATAGAAAGAAAATAAAGCATTCCAAAGCTCACTAGCAAGATCATAAGCTATTCATTGGTTTTAGTCTACTATAATTTCAATCATGAACACTGTTTGACTTCATTTCTATCTGCTGCAGGATGTTTGTTTTGTGACCTTAATCCTATCCATTTATTGTCTATGTATAATTGCTAATAACAAGTGGAAATATGATGAGTGGTAACGATGTCAGTTGACGGATTTCGGGGGGAAAACTTCGGTTTCTGATTTATTTGCCCTGTATTTCTATATCAGATGCTCTCAATGAGAAATGGATTAAGCCTGCATCCCATGTACTTGCCTGGAATTTTGCTACCACTCCAGTTTTCCCAAACTGGAATAGATTTCGGCAACGGAGACTGCTCTCGTCCCATGAATGCGTCGGGCCTGGTGCCAGCAAATCAAGAAACCTCTCCGCAGATGGTATTCGATATGCCCCCTGAATCCATACTCAACCTGTCGAACATAGTTTCTTCAAATACATCATCGGGAATGGAATCAATCCAAGGCCAGTTCGGGCCATTTCAGCTCATTTCGTCATCTCAGGTAAGTCATATGAACAACAATGCATAAAACCAATGGGGGAGGGGGGAATCATTACCATTGCAGGACCCCAAAAGCAGCAATTATTGTCAGGTTTCTGTGTCTCTTTTATGTTTCTTACAACAAGGTCTTAACTCTTGAAATACCTGTTAAAACATCCATTGGCAGAACCCAACATCAGACTTAACTGGCATATATTGGTATTGTGTCTTGTTGGAAATTTATCGACCATTAGTCGCCAAGTTGGAAGCTCCCATCTCATTGTAACACGATAACATATAAACGTCAAATTTTCTTATCTATTTTTCTATGATAGATTTGCTTGGACTTGCCGCCTACCAACCTTTTCCGACATTGATTAATGACATTATAATATATAAGAAACAAAAACATAACCAAAGAAGCTATAATTATAGACTTAAAACAAACATGTCAGTGTCTGTATATTAAGGTTGAAAAATACGCAGTAAATAGTTGTTTGAAGAATAATGACTGTGTGATCAATCTTTGGATTAAATCAATTACTTTAGGAAGAATACAAACGAGTGAATCCAAACAAACAAGGACGGCAAAGAAAACAACATGGTATATATGGTTCATGTCATTATATGTCGTGTTCAATTGCAGAAGACTCTACCAACAACCATGTTTGGTTGGTATTTTCAATGGGGGCATATTCCTATTGCAAACATTTGTTATTTCCCAAAGTAACATTTAGTACTTCTAAAAAAAATCTAATCTATATGAGTAAATTGCACATTTTTATATTTTAAACCCAACTTTTATTTAGTTGTTGAAAGGCTACAACAGCTATTGGACGTATCTTCGTTAAACGGGAAAAGAGAGAAAATTGGAATATAGAATGAAATTAAGGGTGAAAGGGGAAAATTCAAAATTGATTAATTTAAGAGAAAAAAGATGATTCAATTATGAATTTAGGAGAAGTTGAAAGAAGAGAAAACCTTCAAGAAAATACGAGGTAATGATAGATTCATCTAACAAATTGTCTACGTGGCATCTTTTGTTTATTTTTCATGATTTAATATAAAATTATAAAATTCATTAAAATATTGGGTAAAGTATGCAAATGATTCTCTAACTATAGGATGTTACTTTGTTGAATACATTGACTATTAAAAGTTACAAAATGATCACTCGACTATAGGATATTACTTTATTGAGTCATCTAACTGTTAAAATTTCAAAATGATCACCTGACTATTCATATGTTACAAACTCATCATTTTTCGATAAAAAAATTGTGGTCATCTGAACTGGGCATAGTTTAATGATGCATACTGGCACCACTGTTACTTTCAAGCATTTTCTCAACAATATAATGTTTTAAGTATTGGCTCGACAGTATAATGTAAATAGAAAGTCGATCCACAAAATAAAACTCAAACAATTTTGGGATTAAATTTTATAATATCTCAGTCAATAGATCAACGTCCATCTGAAATGACCATCATTTTCAAACGGAAAAGTATGAGTTTGGAACATATGAATAGACGGATGATTATTTTGTAACTTTTAATAGTTGGAGGACTCAACAAAGTAACGTCCTATAGTCAGTGATCATTTTATAACTTTTAATAGACATGATACTCAAGAAAGCAATATCCTAAAGTTGAGGGGGCCATTTGTGTACTTTACCCTAACATATTTTAGTTGTTGAGTTACCATTATATGCATTTCATATTGAATTTTTTTCTCTATCTTCTTTCTTTCAAGTTTTTCTCTAAAATTTGTACAATAAATTTGGCATGAGAGTTATCGGTGGTACAGGGAACTAAATAAATCTATAGGAACAAGAGCAAACTATTCAATTTCAGTGGGAAACATTGGAGAATAGTAATGATGTAGTTCACATATGGTTGAAAGTAGGGATGGATAGAAAGGGGATATGTGGGTACAATCGTTTAGTGAAATTTTTAAAATTTCTTATATTTAGGCATTTTATGTGTATTTTCAATCAATAATATATTTTCGTCTTCATTTTATGTGTATTTTCTATCAATAATCTATTTTCGTATCCTAAAAATTTATATGTTCGTTGTCCTTTAAAATTTTATAAATTCACCATCCTAATATAAAATCATACGTTCATCCTGATTGAAATAATAGAAAAAACATTAAAAGAAAAAATGACTTTGAACATACACCAACTTTGAACAAAATGGAAATTGTAAATCATAGGTTCACATGCTTTATTGCCCTTGTCATTCCAAAATGTATTCAAAGTCTTTAGTTTCTTTGAATTTTTTCCACAAACATGCTTTATTGCCCTTGTCATTCCAAAATGTATTCAAAGTCTTTAGTTTCTTTTAATTTTTCCCCACAAAAAGACGTATTTGACCGTGCGTAAGTGAACAAACAAAATAACTTAGTCCCTTTATTTGTCCTTTTCTTATTCTTTCTTATTATTAATGCTTTTCAAATCTATTAACTTGAATCAACCAATTCAGGGGGAAAACTGTTTGAAGTGTATAAAAACAATTTTAAAAGTAACTAATTAATCACAAAAACCGAATTTATTCATAAAATCATTTTCCTTCAAATCATTTTTAAAATTTTTATATCAACCGATTCTAGTTTTAAATTTATATTGAAAAATGATTGTATTTTATAATTTTTACATTAATTAATAAATTTTAATTCATAAAAGGATGAACCTATGAAGTAAATGATTTTATTTTATGGTTTTGATATTATTTTTCATAAAAATATCTAAAATAATTGATAAAATTAATTATAAATTAAATAAAAATCATATTTAATTTTAATAATTATATATTTTAAAATTTTAAAATTATAAATTATAATCAGTTTAAATATTATAATTCGATTTAATTTTTAATTTATTTACTCTCATAAATGTAATTTTCTATATTTTACGAGTTTTGGATGAAATTCAATTCAAGTTTTTTCTTAAAAAAATTTCCATAAAAAAGGAAAAAAGAATGGAAAAGCCACGAAAATACGCTCCATTTTCAACGATCTCATCAACTTACTTTCTGCTTATATTCGTGAGCCTCACGCTTGCTTTCCTCCACTAATATATAAGCAGGCGGGTTCTTTTTTTTTTTTGAGCTATAAGAGAGTCCCAGAAAGCAAGGAAGTATTTGACTTGTACATTAATAATGGAGGCGAAATCGAATAAGCCGACTCAAAATGCGGGTCGGGTCGTGGACGGTCCGACGAACCCGATGGTCACCCCTCTCCTCACCGATCTTTATCAGTTCACCATGGCTTACGCTTATTGGAAAGCCGGCAAACACAATGACCGAGCCGTGTAACTTTCCAACTCTTTCCATTTATTTCACTTCATTTTGATATTTTTTTCCTTTTTTGCTTTCTTATCTATTCTCTGTTTGGATACCATGAAAATCGGATCGGAAATAGATTATAGTTGCTGTGTGGTTATTAGTTAGTTAGTAGTTATAGTTGCTTGCTTCCAGTATATTTCTTTTTTTGTTATTTTCTTCTCTCTTTTAATTTTATTATTTGATGCAGTTGAGGTTGCTATGTAGTTAGTTGTAGCATTGAATAATAGATTTTTTTTCTAACTATTGGTATTTTAGTTAAATGTTAAATTCTGAATTGAAAAATTGAAAGTATTTCCGTTTGGAAAGATTGAATGTTATGAGCTTTGACTTAGCATTTAAAATATGCATTCAGGTTCGATCTGTACTTTCGGAAGAATCCGTTTGGTGGTGAATTTACAGTGTTTGCTGGTTTGGAAGAATGCATAAAGCTCATTGCTAATTTCAAGTTAACCGAGGAAGAGATTTCCTTTATCCACCAATCCTTGCCTGGTTCATGTGAGGTAAACCAAATTGATTTTATTAAGGATTTATTTAAATAATATTTCGGTTGTGGTTCTCTTCTTTTCTGAACTGTGCTAGATTTGATGGTTAACTCATTCATTGTGTTTGCAAATGACAGGAGGGCTTTCTGAATTATCTAAAAGAAATAGACTGTTCTGATGTTGAAGTATATGCTATTTCTGAGGGAACAGTTGTTTTCCCAAAGGTTCCGCTACTCCGACTTGAGGGGCCAGTCGCTGTGAGTACCATCTAACTATTTTTTTTTTTGGCTGCATCAGCTTGTTTTGAATTGTTATTTGTTTTCAGCCCCTATGTTTTACATCTTACATTTTCTTTAAATGTTAATTTTTTGTTTTTAGGTGGTTCAATTACTGGAGACTCCAGTTCTTAATCTTGTGAATTTTGCATCCTTGGTGTCTACAAATGCTGCTAGACATAGACTTGTTGCTGGAAAATCTAAAATGTTGCTTGAGTTTGGGCTTCGAAGGGCTCAGGTTAGCGAATTTATCCACTTATTTGAAGTGTTAATATTTGAAGTTTCTCTCTGATAAATATTTCCATTCATGTTAATTGCAGGGACCTGATGGTGCTATAGGGGCATCAAAGTATTGCTATATTGGAGGTTTTGATGCTACCAGGTGATTTGCTGAATATGTATTTCCTGTTTCACTCTGCTTTCATGTGTTCCTATAGTAAAGTTAAAAATTGTTCTCTGCAGATCTGCTCTATTATTCTTATTCTTCTTCACTAATGTGGATACTTGATCTAAGCTAATATTTTGTTCGGTTTGTTTCTGTTTATATGTTGTGTTTTGACCAGCAATGTTGCAGCTGGAAGGTTATTCAATATACCTCTTCGTGGCACGCATTCCCATGCTTTTGTTAGCTCATTTATGGTCAGTCAAATTTGCTGGAAATTAACTTAATATTTTAATTTAAATGTTATGGAGATATACGCACCTGCGGGTGGAATATGCTCAAGTGTTTGCATGTGTTTATTCCACATGTCTACAATGATATGCAAATGTTGACCTGTAAAGTCATAATTAGAAATTTCCACATGAATGGACACGTTTTGTTAGCTCCTTTGCTGTTGGCCCTGTTTATTTTCATTGATTATTTGATTATTAATATATGAGCGGTAATACCTATTTGCATATGTGTGGCATGACGTGACTGCAAGTGATGAGATTTGAGTGACAAATAAAGTTTTCATCTGTATAGTGCTTTTAATTTGGAAAACACTTTTATTACTTTCTGATAATGTGCTTGAGTTTAACCCTTGCTATTGGGTATCACCTATCATTGTTTATATCTAAATGTTAGTTGTTTGATACTTTAGTTTCTTCTCTCTTGTTGAATGGATCCATACTCCATCAATGTTCGGGACCTTTGCTTATCATTTCTTCCTGTTTTCTTTGTCATTCTTTTGATCATTGCCCTCTTGTGTTTTCATGCATTGAATATTATGGTATCTTCATTGGATCTTTTTATGCTTCTTTGAATATGAGATAATTCGGATTTTGATTTGCAGGGACCAGATGAAATCCTTGAGAGATCCCTGTGTAGCTCTGATGGTTCAAGTACTTGTGAGGATTTTGTCGCTCTTGTTCAGTCATGGTTAAGCAAAATACAGGTGTTGTGGATGGCCTAGTAAATTTCTTTTAAAAAATTCTTTGATGTCTTTTCTTGTTTAGCTAGAGATATATGTTATGGTATTACTTTTTTCAAAGTACGTTGACCAAAATCGATTGGTGCTACATGTTAAAGTTCGAAAAAAATTGGGTAATCAAGCTTACAAATTTAGTTCTTTTATTCTCAAAATCCAAGTTATATCTTTATTATGGGTAGATTTAATCACTCAGAAATGGATTATTCTTCTGCCTTTTAGACAACATTGGTTGATATTTTGTCATAAAAAAATGACTAATTTTAAAGGATTATCACCCATAACTTTGATTCCATACGTAATGCAAAAACTCATTCCTGCTATACCTACATCACATGAATTAGATGGACCAAGCTTTTATTACTTTGAGAGGATGATATATAGGAATTTGGTTGAGAGAGAGACCAATGTATTCTTTTGCTTCACCTAGCTTATGTTATATCTAATCATTGCATGTTTTGTAGTTGTTGAAATCACTGGGGGGCACTTTTGGAGAGACCAATCAGAGTGAGTTAGCAGCTTTCATATCATATGCCTTGGCATTTCCTAACAACTTTCTTGCTCTTGTAGATACATATGATGTAAGTAGTTTTCCTTGAGCTTTTGAGTTTAAAACCACATTTTGATGCAGTCTACATTGTCATATATCAGTATTAACATTGCAGTTTTGAAATCCATTTTACCAGGTAATGAGGAGTGGAGTCCCCAACTTTTGTGCAGTTGCTTTGGCACTCAATGACTTGGGTATGTCTCAAGTGCTTAATATATAGAAGTCTCGCTTCTTATAAGAACAATTACTCATTTGCAAAAATTTGGGTCAAAAGAATCCTTTTGTTCTCATTTGATGCTTTATCTATAATTACCTTCACTTTAGTAATTTTCTGTTGTATTTCCAATGACTTTCAAACATCAATTCATGTAATCAAGCTGATTGTATTAGTGGCATGGTAGAATTTTGCTTGTTGGCTTGAGAGAAAATGGACTAATGTATGATTATATGTTGGGATCATGGTGGCTAAACTTACATTGAAACTAAAACATATGAAGAAAGGCACAAAGTAACATGGATTTATGCGTCATGTGTCAACAGATACTGCCTCTATTGCTTTTCTTTTTGTTTATGTGTAACATTATACTTGTATTAAAGCTTTTTATCTTCTTCATTCATGTTGGATCATATAGTTTTTAGATCATACTTTTGTCAACATAACTTCTGAAGGACTCTCTGGATTTCATCCATGCCAGTAAGCATGGTGGGTCATACTTAATTCCTGAGATACGTTGAATACTCAAAAAAATGCAGGTACAAAGCTGTTGGCATTAGATTGGACTCTGGTGATCTAGCATACTTGTCTAGTGAAGCCCGAAAGATCTTCCATACAATTGAGAAGGAATTTGGGGTTCCTGATTTTGGAAGGACAAGCATTACTGCTAGTAATGATTTGAATGAAGAAACTTTAGATGGACTAAAAAAGCAGGTTTGTAATGTAAACTAAAACTTCTTTGCATAATTCATTACTGTTTAACAGCCTGAATCAGAATGATATTGCTTCCAGTATAGTACACCATTCACTTTTGTGCACATCTTCAACCACACTTTTCCTCTGCAGGGTCATGAGGTGGATTGTTTTGGAATAGGAACCTATTTGGTTACTTGCTATGCGCAAGCAGCTTTGGGTTGTGTTTTCAAGCTTGTTGAGATCAATAATCAGCCACGCATCAAGCTTTCAGAGGATGTGTCTAAGGTTTGACTGGGCTGACCTGAAATTTTAGCAGCATACTCTTTCATATGATAAATTTCCTACTTTCTCTCTTCTTTTCATTTATTTATTTCTTAAATGCTAGGTCTCTATACCATGCAAAAAGCGATGCTACAGATTGTATGGCAAGGAAGGATATTCCCTGGTGGACATCATGACGGGGGAAAATGAACCATGTCCAAAGGTATTAACTCTAGTTGTATAGGCTCCAAAGCTTTTCTGTGATTAGCTACCAACAGTCTTATCCTTAATTTTCTCTTTAGTACTATAAAATGTGTGGTTTAGGGCATGTCACATGTGAACATAGAAATGAGTTTACAGCCAGTTATTTTTGATGTAATTTTAACTTTAACTTGAGAGTTCAATGTAGAAAGATACTATCATTTTATTTTTCAACTTAAATACATGCTTAACTTTTCTGCATTATGATCTACTACTTACTAAAACTCTTAATATATCGGCCTAAGTTTGTGATAGTATGTAATTGATGATCTTATTAGTTACCCACATCCCAGCATGAATGCTTCTACCTTGATCAAAAACTAATTAACTACAATGATACTCACCTTTGTAGTGTTAGAATGCACTTTATTGAGATTTAAATCCTCATTAAAGTAGCCCGTTCAGCTTGATTTCAAAATAATCTTTTTTTTTTTTGCTTGGATTGTTTTATTCCTGTCATGTCACCAACTACTAATAACTGTATGCACCACAGCTTACCAGCATATAGACTTAATTCCGTAGATGCTAAATGATGAGGCTGAATGACCTCATTTTTCTGTTCTTCAATTCTGCAGATAGGAGAACGAATTCTATGCCGCCACCCTTTTAGTGAATCCAAAAGAGCATATGTGGTACCAAAGCGTGTTGAGGAGCTTCTGAAGTGTTACTGGCCTGGGAAATCAGGTAGGAGCTCAGAATCAATCTTCAATTCTTTACTATGGAAGAACCTGCCTTCGTTGTTTAGTGGTAATGAGTGAAGTGCATAAGTTCTTTTAGAGAGAGGGGCGAGTAGCAAGCAGAGCCTTGTATGGGGTTCCAAACCTTGTATAATTCGGCTCCTATCAAGGGCAGAATTGATAACCTTACCGATTCAGTAGTCTCTTTTATTCCTTATATATCTTATTTTTTCTGGAAAGTGCCCAGTTTTAAATAGATTTAGCATTGTCTAGAGAACATGAAGAAACAATACACGAAACATCATTTCCTGTTCCCCTGCCACATCAGTATCAAACACCAGACCAGTTTGAACCTCCGTACTTAGTTGTACCTTGTAACATACTGTTGAGCAGAAGAGAGGCTCCTGAGCAATTTGTTGATTCCCGTTTTCTGAAACAAGATTTTTATTTTTATTTTTTGGGCTCTTGAAGGTAAAGAAAGAGAAGAATTACCAGCTCTCAAGGACATTAGAGACCATTGCATCAAACAGCTTGAGCAAATGAGGCCTGATCACATCAGGAGATTAAACCCAACACCATACAAGGTATTGTTAGAGTAACATGATGAAAATATCCTTTTCCTGATCAAACTTATAACTAGTTTAAAGCATTTTTCTTATCACTAACCAGGTGAGTGTAAGTGCAAAATTGTATGATTTCATCCATTTCCTATGGCTCAACGAGGCACCTGTCGGAGAGCTGCATTGAGAATCCGAGATATATTTTACATGGAGTTAGCTTACAAATAGCAGGTACAAAGTAATGATTCCAATGGAGCTGGAGGAGCTTTTTTAACATAGTCTTCATACATCACATTATTGTCTTATCTTTGTGCTTTAATAATCCATTTTTTTTATGCAATGCTCAAATAAAATAAAAATTTGTTTTTTTCTGCAACACATATGGATCATGTTTAAACCTTGCATACAAAACAAATACAGATTAGAGCTATGGAAGTTCTCTTCCACTCAGAACACGAAATTAATGGCACAAATCTGGGATATGCAATTTTCTAATGTAGATTCTGATCTCTTGGATATGATCGTTGAAGCTGTGAAGTTGATTCTCCATTTATGTTGGATATATGATTATTTGTATCTGTTCAAGGAGGCTTGCCAAAAGATTTACAAATAATGAATTGTTTTTTGTTTCATTTTAATTATAAAATATTAGATTATTTAGTAAATAATGAATTGGGTTGAAAAATATAAAATTCAGCCCGCAAATAAATCCATGGACAAATATGTAATCAAATAGAGGACATGGAAAAACAAATTAGAACATGACTGGATTCGATTATTGGTTTCAAGGTGCAGGTTGTTTTAATAGATGTTTATATAAAAAAATACCAAAACAGAGCTATAAACATAATCTAAATGGGGACAGAACTGATGAAAGAACTTCCGAATTGGGCGAGGAAAACGTTGAGGTCGGCGCCAATTTTTTTTTTATCATTTCTGTCCGTTATATGTGATAATTCTATTCCATTAAGTTCAAGATAAGTATGTGATTAGCGCCCTTCAGTGAACTTATTTTACCGTGACAATGACATGATTCTCAAGGGACCAACTCACCTCTTCGCATATATTGCTTCAGTTAATGATTGAATCACTTTTCATACCATTTAATCTGGCAGCTGGGTGTATTAACTCAGTTGTACTAATGTGGAACTCATTAAATAATCTTAATGATAAAAAAGAGTATTATTTTTCATAAAATTTTGAGTTTAAATAATTGTATTTATAAATTATGTATATGTTCATAAAGAATTAGTAACCAAAAAGAATATGAATATATACGGTTTTGTAATTACTTTAAACTAACATAAAAGAAAAAATTATACCAATGTTATTATGAGCTCTTAGAGATTACGAATTCTACTAGATTTACTAGAATAACGATTACCCTAAATAGACAAAGGAGCAAACTTCAAGTTTTGCCTCACACATCCCCTTAATTTACACTTAGAATATGAGTAGAAAGAAATTTAATTGGGGACAACTGCTATTGCTGTCCCTCTGCCAAGCCCCCATCTTCTCTCATTAATTACTTTCACAAACAATGAATCCCATACCAATAAACAACGTACTCCCTTTACACAGTAAACACCAATTCAAGCTATTCTTCTTCAGCTAAAACAAAAGTAGGAGAGAAAAATGTCGGCTCATCTCTCCAAGACAGACTCCGAGGTGAGCATCCTGAGTCAATCTTCACCAGCGAGGTCCCCTCGTCGACAAATGTACTACGTTCAGATTCCATCGAGTGACTCCCACGATGGTGAAAAGACCACCAACTCGTTCAACTCGACGGCTCACCACCTCACTCCCACTCCAACGCTTCGTTAGGCCCTCATTCCACGCGAGTCGTCTTCCACCCGCCTGTCTGGATCCCTCAAACCACAACGTAAACACGATGGATCTCGCACGGGTCGCAACCACAAGCAGCCATGAAAAGAGTTCGACGCCATCGAAGAAGAAGGCTTACTCGACGGTGAAGGTGACTACAAAGGCCTCCACCCTCGACGTTGCTATCTCCTAGTATTCATCGTCTGCTTCTTCGTGCTCTTCCCCACGTTTTCTTTGATCCTATGAGGCGCGAGTAGACCCCAAAAACCTAAAATCACCATGAAGGTCAGTCAGATAAAAAATAGATTCGAAGTGCATTTTTTCAATCTCGTCATTTTTGCTCCTTTAAGCTTAGATCACAAAATCATTAAAAAAAAGGTTTTGTGTTGTTTTTTGCTTTGTAGAGCATTCATTTAACGAATTCAGGGTTCAAGCCGGTGCGGATTTCTCGGGAGTTAGCACAGAAATGGTGTCGATCAACTGCACAATAAAGCTCACATATCGAAACACAGCTACGTTCTTTGGGGTCCATGTAACATCAGCACCCTTAGATCTCTCTTACTCTCAGCTCACCGTCGCCACCGGATCGGTAAACCAGCGATGACTTCATCAAACCGATATTAAATATTTTTTTATGCAGTCTTTTTCATAAACTTGGGGTTCATTTATTTATTCATCCCAATTAAAAATCGTTTTATTATATGTGTTCGGTTTTGCAGATACGATCGTTTTATCAATCGAGAAAGAGCCAAAAATCATTGATTGTGACGATGAAAGGGAGTCATATTCCCTTGTATGGAGGAGGGGCTAACTTGGCTAGTCTCAATGGTGAACCGACTCAGCCATTGCCATTGACACTCGACTTCATGGTTCGTTCAAGGGCTTATGTTTTGGGAAGGTTGATGAAGCCCAAGTTCTATAAGAGGATTCAGTGTTGGGTCACCATGGACCCCAAAAAGATGAACAAGGCTATTTCACTACAAAACAAATGCATTTACAGCTAATGTGATTCAATAATACATCAGCTGTATTTGTTTGTATCAATGGGAAGGCAAAGTTTACAGTTACACAGAGTGGCTCGGATTCCGGGAAGGTTCATGATTCTCAGAGCATTGGAAATGTAGTGGTGATCGTTGGTTTAAATGTAGTTTATACTTGTAATCTAAACGAGTTTTGGCCTTTGGGATATGAGGTTAGATTACGATTTATTCCAATCAAGGATGAATTGAGGGGAAACGATCAAAGGCAATCGTTATTTAAAAATTTTAAATTATCATATATTTTTTAAAAATATATTTTCTATTGATAATGTACTTTTGTCTCTTAAAATTTTATAAGTTTATATTTCTCTAAAATTTTAAAATTACTTAACCATTTAATTTGTACTGTAAAAAGCCCTTGACCTTCGGCATGTACAACCCTCTAACCATTAATGTATACATAAATCAGCTTTCAATTCCTCACGTGCAGCTAAGGCAGCCACTTATCCTGTGGCTTATGTTTTTATCAAATTCTAAACTGTTATTTTGGTTGTTTGCAGTTCGGTAAAGAAGATAAAGCATGGTTGAGTTGGATGCCTAACTCTTCTAATTGCCTCAATTACCCGCCCTTTGCTTCCAACGTCAATCTCATCGTACTCCCTAAGAAAAACAAAAAGCTACCACCCATTCTCATGGTTAAGTTCATCATTAATTAAGTGTTAAACCACTCTTGATTAACTTAACCGGTACAAGTATGATCATGTTCTAGAAATGAAAAGGCTTATTCAAACAAATTGAAGATCTAAGATGAAGCAAAATCATTGATTAGGTGAAAGAAATCTTGATTAACCCACCACCGACGACATGTTTTACGAAATGGGTTTAGGACAGACATTCAATACACAATTGTCGGTTGAGAAATCATCATTATTGCTTCAAGACAATGAGGCTTTGTTTATCATTAATTCACTAATTGTGATTTTTTTCTAAACTACAATAATATTGATACTCCATTATATAATGTTGATTGTTTAATTTTGAAATTCGAATGAAGGGCTGAGATTACAGGGCCCAAAAGGGGGAAAACCTTCATATATATATATATATATATAATGATTGGATATTAATTGACTAATCTAGGTTGTTCCATTCACAAACATCAGAGTTTGAACCCTTGACCTTGATTAAGTAATCTAATGTCTTATGTCACTAAACCAACCCGTTGTTGCTGATATAATTATTGTTGTTATAATTATTTTATATTTTAATTCAATGATATTCGTAAGAAAACAAGTGTTAGTATAAAAAAAACAAGGATTGGTAGATTAAACCCTGGAATTTATTTACCCACAACTTGAGATTTTAAAAGTTTTATGAAATTTCAATAAAGAATGGTCTATACAACCTGTGGCCAATCAGAACTCTTCAATCGCCCAAAGAAAAAAATAAATAAATGTCAGTCGGATCTACGGTTTCCCTCAAATCATTTACAATGAAAAGTCACAACCAATTGGATCAAAGCCGTCAGGTTCACTACCTCACGGTGATCCAGTTCTCCCACACTGACCACTCTGGTGCATCGTCCCAACCCAATTGTTGAATCCGATCCAAAGGTGATTGAATAAACGAAGACCCCAACCTTGAATTTTCCTGGAAAATTGATTGAGAAGATGAAGCTGTTGATTGAGTTGAAACCCAGTCTGGGAAATCGAAATGACATCTCGGAGACTCAGAAATATCTTCAAGATAACAATTTGGAGAAGTTGATTCTTCTTCTTGATTTAGGTTCATTAGCATTGTCTCCTCGTCGCGGGCCATGAAAGGATGCTTGAGGAGCATCTCGGCCGTCCATCTCTTCTTCGGGTCCTTGACGAAACACTTTCCGATAAAATCTTTTCCTTCCTCGGATAAATCTTCAGGGATCCAAGGCAATTCATCGCCAACCCCAAATTGAATCAACAAAGCCGACACATTCATCCCTGTTTTGAAATTCCAGACCGGTTTCCCGGTAAACATCTCGACAATGGCGCATCCAAGTGCCCATATATCAACTGGGGAATAATAATCGCTCTCATTAACGGACTCTGGCGCGATATTCAAAGGGGTTCCCCTGATTTCCATCCTCCTCTGTTTTTCTCTCCCGTTTCTCTTCGCTAAACCAAAATCAGCTATCTTCACATCACCATTTCCAAACAAAAGAATATTTTGAAGCTTAATGTCACAGTGAACAAACACTTTGGCGTGAACGAAGCTTAGCCCTTTAAGTATCGATCTAACGTATCTTCTAACATCGGATTCCATCAAGTTCCCGCCTTTGTTCTTCACCCGATCGGCCAAACTTCCTTTGTTAGCGTACGCAAAGAACAGATTATAAAAGTTCTCGCAATTGACGACAGTATAATCGTCGCCGAAACAACGGATGATTTGCGGGCAAAAACCGAGTTTATCGAGCACTTCCTTCTCATTCTTGAGAGAAACAGAGCATATTGATTCACAAGACTTAACGGCCATTAATGGAGAATTTGGGAAACCTTTTCTGGGTACGACCAAATTGACAGTGCCGAAACTTTCACGTCCAATCGTATCCCCTCGAACAAACTCCATTTAAATCCCCAAACTTTAACCCAGAGATCTCAGTTCGGGTTTTGGAGAAATCGATGTTTTTTGTTTCTTTGGGAGAAAGAAAGGAATTGGAAGGTAGCAAAATCAGGGTTTGCAGAGCATAATGGTGGCGGTGAGTGCTTTTATATATGTAGAAGATGGACTTCTTTAAGTGTGAAAATTCAATTTTTCTATTAATTAATGCACGTGGCGTTTACCCTTTTTTTTCCCCAAAATTTTGATATGGAAAAACAGCTTAACTAAGCATGGTAAATGGGCGGGTCGAATGGGAATATTTTTTCTCTATTTTTATATCTACTTAATATTTTTAAATTCACTATCCGTCTATTATTTATGATGGGTAAAATTTTTCAAATCACATATTTCTATATGGGTACATTCTCAAATTCATCCCCACACTACTACCTAACTAGAGACGTACCTAGCTAGACCCGCCTAACAGCAACTTTAAGTTATATATAAGCAACAAACATAAAACAAACACGTTCATTAAGAAACATAATAAAATAAATCAAGGATTATTTGAGTTAAGTGTTAACATATATCTTAAAGTACATAAAACATCATAATAAAATACATAATTAAAGCCTAGAAAAAAATTGATTCATAAACTTATACATAATATTTGGTTAAATTATAAGTTACATCTTATATAATATTAAGATTTATAAATTATTCTCTAAAATTATACCTAAATTCATAATGGTCCAAAATTTAATGGGTATTTAATGGGCGGGCAGATACGGGCGGGTAAGATCTCAAACCCATCACCCGCCCACTACCCGCGATGGATACCACTTTCTAAATCCACACCCGCCCACTACCCACTAAAATTATACCCATCACTACTCCAATTAAAATAGATACGGTGCGAAATCCACGAAATTATACCCGTTTGTCATTCCTAAGCTTAACCCCAATTTCTAAAACGCATGAATATAGCGAATCCCCAAATATTTTCCATCTATACCTACGTGGATTAGGATTTTTAGGGTAATATATTTATTTCGTCACTCCTTTATTCTCTTGTTTTTGTTTTATATATTTAATAATTTTATAAATTATAATTACGATCATTTAATTTTAAGATATTTTAATTTAATAATTAATCTTTTAATTTTATCAATCAATTGATTTAATTATATAAATAATATCAATTAAGTTACTAGCGGTTAACATTTAACAGAAAACATGTTATGGTTGTTAAAAAAATTAATATAATTACATATTTGATCTATATTACATATATGTTCTATCAATAGATCCTAATTTTAATTTAATTCATTAAATGTAATCCTGTAATTTTATAGTAACACTTCTCACAAACGTATCATGGCATATGTCACTCTATTTGATTAAAAGATCTTTTTCTTCATTTTAACTTATTTAATTTAATAAAAAATTAATAAGACGATGAAAAATAAATTGAAAAGGAGTGACATTGAGAGAATTAAACTTGAGAACTCGAGGTAAGTAGAGGCATCCTAGCCATTAGGCCAAATCCTTCATTTGATATTTGTATTATATATATATATGGGTTAGGATTTAATTACACAATATAAAATTCTTTAGTTTTACACAGATTTATAATTGTTGGATAAACGAAAATAGATAGTTGAAATTGACTCCTTATTCTTTTTACAGTTAATATATTCTTATTTCCTACCGTTAATCTCAGCCATCTATTTTCACTCATCCAACAATTTTAAATCTGTATAGAACTAAAAGAGTTTTACATTGTGTAAGAGAATCCTATCCCTATATATATATATATTGTAATATAGTTAATGTTATAAAATAATAATTTAAAATAATAATAAATCATATATTTGTAGTAGTTGAAAATCACTTTTATTTTTTTTAAATGATTTAATTTTAACAAGAAAAGTGGGGTTTGGTGATTGTCTGTCTCTCTTTCCAATTTGAAGAGTAGGGTACACAATTTCTATATGTCGCTTGAAGAAAAAGAAATGTAACGATTTAATATTCTTTGAGCGTTGCCCAGCTATATCTAGGGTTGGGCAATTTATTATCCTTTCTTTACATTTGATTGATTAATTTTGTTACACATTTTTTACATGTTTGAATTTGCTATAACATTGTCAATGTTATTCTATTACATTGTTTAAAAATTAAATGACAATTTAATAACTAGAGTCGCTACCATCCATGAGCCACGGTTCATGTGAAGATATAAAAGAAAAGATTGGTTAGCCATTTCTTTTTTATTTTTTTATATTAATGATCACCTTCGGTTATTGCTAAAAAACTAATTGATTAAATTTTGGTGGCAAATATATAGATAGATTAATTGTTGAAATATTTTGTTAGAAATTTATTAGAAGAAAGGTCATCTAAAGAGAGAAAATATATCATATATAAAAGACGATGTAGTTCGATATTGTCTATTTATACATATAAAAAAATAATCTATAATAAATACAGACATCATAAAAAATATAAATATAAATAATCTACAATAAATACAGACGATGTAGTCCATGGCCTTTGTACTGTAGCTGACACCGACAGTAGGACGGCGTGGAATGAGAAGATGTGAAGCTCCACGTGGAGGGAGGGCTCATAAACAAAGGGAATTATTGCGCCATCAAGCAAACCAACAAAAATCAAATTGCACCAGCAGCGGCTTTGAGTGTTCCATTAGTTCATGTCCATTAAAAAATATGAAGCCATCCGACTTTTCTCTTACTTGACTACTATGATCTCATGCAAATGTAAGCGCCGATGGTTCAAGGAGCAATCATACTGCGTTTACTTCACCCAATTCTTTCAAAATGTCAGCTAAAATTATAGCCATAGTGGGACTGGTGTAGGTTAGTGTCTTGCTTGGAATTATACGGAGGGGGGTAAATTTTCTGTGAAAAGTGTTTATAGAGTTACGATGAAAAAGATGATTCGAAAGTTACAATCAAGATGAATCGAGGAAGATTGATGAGAGTTGTTGTCGCTCATTCGATTGATCATCATATCATCAGTTGTAATTATCAGTAGTTGGATCTGCTAAATTAATTGTCAAAGTCGAGAAAGAATCAAACTCCTATTTAACAACAATTTTGATTAGAAGACGGTACACCAACTCAACTCTCCAACTTTGGAGTCACTCCACCAATTGGTTTTGATTTAGCTCTCTAATCTTTCCAGCAATGAGTAGAGGAATAATAATTAGTCAATGATTTAGACTCAAATCTGTTAAGTTTGTAGAATATATGAAAATGAAGGAGAATTGCCATCGTCTATGAACGGCAAAGGGGTCAGACCTTGTACGTTTGGAGTGTTGAAAGCCGGGATGATGCTTGCTTGTTACCGGGTATTATTTTAATTCGTGAGTTCCAACCTATTCATATGTGCGATATTGAATATTGGGATTGATTTTTATGGACTAACGAGTATAGAAGATGATCTAAGTTGTTTCATCGAGACATTTGATATATTACTTGGGATGAAGCTATTTTGTTGGACAGAAAAGTTTTGCATCAGTTCGGAATGGGCCTGGGATGAAGTTACTTCTTTCTTTCTTTGGGCATGAAATGCGTTATCACCTAATATCTTGTTGTAAAGTACACAAATTGTCCCATATTATAGGATATTATTTTATTGAATTCTCCGATTATTAAAAGTTACAAAATGATATTTAATTGTAGGATCTGCTTTGTTGAGTCCATTAACCATTAAACACTACAAATTGATCACTTGATTGTTCATTATGTTATAAACTCTCATTTTCTGTTAAAAAAATCAACGATCGTATGAGTTTGACGTTAACATGCTGACTGAAATATGGTAGTTGCTTAAGATTATGAGATCAGATTTTATCATATTTTGTTAACAAGTTAACATCCAACTTATAAGGTCGTTATTTTTAACAAAAAAATACGTTTAGAACATAATAAATAATCGAGTGAATATTTTGTAACTTTTAATAGTTGTTGCACTCTACAAAGCAACTTCCTACAATTAATAATCATTTTAAAATTTTTAATAGTCGAAAGATTCAACAAAACAATATCCTATAGTGAGATTACTATTTTTATACTTTACCTTTTTTTTCTTTGTTTGTTTAAAACTAACACCCAACATAAAACATAATCGTTAGGTCTATCCTCCGAGTCCAAATCGCATAACCAACCAGAACAAGTAAGCAAGATAAATTTTCAAAAACTCAATTATCACAACTTAACCTTAATAGTAACTGAAGCCCCACCAACCAATCAATCAAGACTAAAATTGCCATATATATTTACGTGTTTGAGAATCCTATGATGACCATTGATAACAACATACTAATACAATTACTCCTTAAATTAAAAATACTAATACGATAAAGTACACAAATAATCTTATGAGTATATTACATTACTTTGTTGAGTCTTCGATTATTAAAAGTTATAAAATATCTTCGGATTATAAGGTATTGTTTTGTTAAGCCCCGATTATAAGGTGTTACTCTGTTGAACCCCTAACTATTAAAAGTTACAAAATGATCATCGACTATAAGATAATGCTTTGTTGAGTCACTGACTATTAAAAGTTACAAAATGATCACTCCACTGTTTATATGTTCAAAATTTGTCCTTTTCATTTAAAAAAATTACTGATGGAAATTTAATCTCATAACCTCAAACAATTATCTTATATCAGTCAATATGTTAACGACCAATCAACTCAAACGATAGTTGTTTTTAAACGAAAAATAATAAATTTAGAACATAATAAATAGTCAGACTACTATTTTATGACTTCTAATAGTTAATAGACTCAACAAAACAATATCTTATAAAAAAAAGATCATTTTGTAATTTTTAATAATTAAGAGATTCAATAAAATAATATTCGTAATAATAATACATGTTTAAATATACTACGTTTCTAAATATTTTGTTAACAGCGGGATTGTCTCAGGAAAGGCGGGTTAATATACGGCTAATATACAGCATTACCGGATACATTAAAATGTATTTAATAAATTCGGTTTAGCGGTACCTATTATGTTGACAACTAATAATGTTTTAGGTAGAAAATATGAAAAACTATTAAAAAATTTG